TGTTAAAAATCTAGAACAGATTCCAACGTTTGGGGAATGACGAAAAGAACAGAAAATATGAATAGTAAATTGGAAACTATAATTAAGAAAGCAGCAGAGAACAGGGTAAAGAAAAGGAAATGGAAAAAGCAAAGGGAGATAACTTAAAATTAGCACTACTACCGATAAAAAGATGAAGAAATATGATCGTAAGTATTAAGAGAGATAAAATTGAACATGCAGAATTAAACTAATTAACAAGAAAATGTGACATGAGAAAAGGAAAATGAAAGTGTATAAGAATTCGACAATCGCTCTAACTTTCTTTTTGCATCGAAACATTGCTGGACATGAATTTGATTTCACTAATGCCACCTTAATTAAAAAAGAACATAATTCTTTAAGGAGAAAAACATTGAAAACGTAACAATAACATTATTACCAACTATAAACATACGCCTAAAACATTACATTGCATCGCCATTTTTCTTTGAATCCATTCTTAAAAATCTAACTTATATCTATCTAATACAAAGAACACATTCTTAAAGAGGCGAGTCATAAATTTGAAACTTGTGACTTCCTGATGCGCAGGTTGAATGCACAAAGGTGAAGATAAAACCCCAAATAGACAGACACACGTACACAATTACAGATAACGCATTACCATTCGATACCCACTTAGACTTACAAGAATCTTCACAAACTTATATACACATAGAATTATTCAGGGTTTTAATACACGTGACACGTCTCTAACAAATGAGAACTGACCAAGACTAATGAAGATTGAAAATAAAAGTGAAACATATTGGATTGATATGTATTTCATATTTGTCCATTTATTTCATATTTGTACTATCGGATTACGATCCATATTTGATCTGCATTTGATCTTTAAATTTTTATTTTAAAATTTATTTAACTGTTTAATTTTGTTTTCTGTTCTTTCTTACTTTCTTTCTATCTTTCTTTCTTTCTTTCTTTCCGTTCAGTCCATTCTTGTATATTGGTTTTGTTTTTCTATTCTTTCTTTCTTTCTTTCTTTCTTTCTTTCTTTCTTTCTTTCTTTCTTTCTTTCCGTTCAGTCCATTCTTGTATATTGGTTTTGTTTTTCTATTCTTTCTTTCTTTCTTTCTTTCTTTCTTTCTTTCTTTCTTTCTTTCTTTCTTTCCGTTCAGTCCATTCTTCTATTTAGTTTTGTTTTTCTTTCTTTCTTTCTTTCTTTCTTTCTTTCTTTCTTTCTTTCTTTCTTTTTCCCTTGGTCTACGTTTATTCTTTGTTTCTTTGTTTGCCAAGTTTGTCTTTTTTCCAATTTTTCTTGTTCGTATTCTTTTATTCAGTTTGATGAAATATCTGAAACTGATAGCAAATGCTCTTACTTTAATACAACCAAGAAAGGTACTTAGCCCGAAAGCCCATCTTCCTTTATTCCGTTACCATTCTTCTTGTCTTAATCTTGACATTAACCTGATTTCGTAGACTCACAGTAGAACAGTACCTAGAAATCCCCGAAAGCAATTGATTTTAAAACCAAATTATGACTACACAGATAAAGTTACTGCAAATCTGCCGAAAAGAATTTGGCAGCACACATTACAATCTGTAAGGAGACTTCAACTTTGATGCCAAGATCTTCGCCTATTACGTCGGTATTAAGAAACGATGTGCGATAATATATTTTATTCTAAAGTTTCTGGAATTCATAGAGGTCGGGAAGATATTGTAAATGTTCGAAAATATTTGAATGGAAAACAATCAATGAGAAGAGATATGGGAATATGTCGGGAACATAGGAACAAGTTGCAAGGAATAGGACAACAAATACAAAAAAGGCAAAGAGAAAAGGTGAAGTGAATTGGAAAATTAACACATATCTTCTCACTTATTCAGAACTATTTATACAATGTGAATATAAAGAATAGTGTGTAACATCAATTTCCGAAAGTGTCGACGGGTTTGTTACCATGACAAACGTGAATGTGAAATGTTAACTTTTATTTGCATTCAGGCAACTATAATTGATTGTGGATTACAATCTCCACACCACTATTGCTTGCGTGTACTCTCTATATATGGTGAATGTCAATGTAACACCTCAAACGATCTTGGCACTACTATTGCTTGCGGGAACTCTCTCTCTATATATATAGTGAATGTCAATTTAACACCTCAAACGATCTCGACACCACTGTTGCTTGCGAGAAATCTATTTATATGGTGACTATCTATTTAACACGTCAGACGATCTTGACACCACTTTTGCTTGCGGGAACTCTCTCTATATATGGTGAATGTCAATTTAACACTTCAAACGATCTTGACACCACTCTTGTTTGCGGGAACTCTCTCTTTTATTTAGTCTTTTTTGCTCATTATGTGTTGTCTATAGCGCAAAAGGAATTTGTTTTCGTGTCTGCATTTGGAAATGAGCTCTGATTTTTTGTTTAGGTGCTGTACATAATATAATATGAATCACAATTTTCGAAGGGCCTTATATATATATATATATATATATATATATATAAAGAATTTACTAATTTAAAAATATGGTTCCATCGCTGCACAGGAATTACTATGTTTCAAAAACAGAAACTAAAAACTAAATTCAATTATAGAATTAAATTAAGTTCCTAGTCCTATTTCATTTTCAAATTTTGGAATAATTTACTTTGAAATTTACTGAGTTTTATAACCACATACATTCATAGTTTCTAAGGATGCGGGGAAATCCAGTCATTTTAACAAGGGGCGGTAGGGTATTCATTTTCATTGACAACTATTTTATCAAAATTACTTTTTGAGTTATTTTTGAAAATAGGTTAAGTCAAGGTAGGGTAGGGGTGCTTTTTCTAACGAATTATGACATGTGTTCAACGCATGTCTTCTGGCAATTCCTGTGTAGCGATGGAACCATATTTCTAAATTAGTAAATTTATAATATTTATGCTCTGTAGATTTGCATTGAACACTGTAAAAATAAAAAATAATTAATAAGAACACAGGATTATATATCTTACTGTTCTTTCTCTCTCTCTCTCTATATATATATGGTCGTTCTGTTCCGAAATTTTAGGCCTTCATAGATCTCAATCGAAAGAACATGTGTGTATATAATATATATATATATATATATATATATATATATATATATATATATATATATATATATATATAAGAACAGTAAGATATATAATCCAGTGTTCTTATAGATATTTATATTTTACAAAATAGTGCTCAATGTAAATTTACAGAGCATTAAAATATATATATATATATATATATATATATATATATATATATATATATATATATAATATTAGTGGTAAATATACATACATATGCAAAATATATAAATACCCATACATGTATATTTTTTGAATAAAAATTCCAAGAGGAAGAATCCAGGTAGAACTCAATGTCCAGGACAGTGTAAGGATATAATAAAAAGGCTTAAACACTAATATTCCATGGTCATAATTTATTCCATTGGAATCGTAAATACGATCCAATTCATCAGACCTACAAATTCAAAAAGAATGCGTATGTATATACGTGTATATGTTATTGTGTATGTGTGGATTCGCATGTGTTTTTGAACATAGAAATATAGGTCCTTGCTGGATTAGATAATCGTTATATTTATTTTTTTATATGTTTATATTTGATTTGTAACCTGTAGTCGATATTAAATTTGTCAAATTTTCTCAATTACAAAGCGGCCCTTTAAGTAAACGCAATTTTACTTTCCTTCGCCCCATCTCTCTCCCCCACCTCGTCTTTCCCTCCCTCTTATTCTAACATTAGATTGTCTATGTCTCTTCCACCCACCTCTCCTAAAATTCTCTCTGTTAAGGTTTAATCTCCCTCCTCCTCATACTTACACTCTCTCTAAATTCTGTTTTTATTTCCGGAGTTGTGTTTTCTTTTAGAATTTGTAGGTCTGATGAATTGGATCGTATTTACGATTCCAATGGAATAAATTATGACCATGGAATATTAGTGTTTAAGCCTTTTATTTTATATATATATATATATATATATATATATATATATATATATATATAAAGCAGGCCATAAATTTTGCAAATTATGTGCTGAGGAGAAATTAGCCATAGCTTTATATGATCAACCCAACCAACTATTAAACTCTAAAACTGAAATTCTCAATGTATGTAGACATAAAAATCTTGGCTACTAAATTAGACGTTTTCCGTTATTGACTTTCCACTGAGGTTTTTTTTTTTTTTTGTTGAATAAATGCCCCCCCCCATTTAGGTTTTTTATTTTTATTTTGTCACGTGGAATGATTTTTAGCTATCACCTATAAATATGTGTGTTTCTCTTTGCCTCTTTAGCCAAACTTTCCCCTGACGATCCGTTTAGGTGAAACCTAGGTAGGTTTGTCTGGCTCACTAGGTGTATCTATATATATATATATATATATATATATATATATATATATATATATATATATTGTGGTCTATAATTGTGGTCTATGAGAATCTAAAATTTGAGAAGTGAACAAGCGTAGTACCTAGACATATGATTTGATTCTAGTCGTGAAGGCTTTTGTAGAACCAACCACACTTTTTTTTTGCAGAACTGATCCGTGAGATGTGATATCTCCAAACACCTCCTCGTGTTTTATTGTCACGGGTTTAATGTCGAAGCGTAAGGACAGAACATCTACTTAAAGATGACCTTTCCCGGGAAGACAAGGCAACCTGATCAGCTAGCTAACTCGTAGATAGCGGATTCATGCCTTTCGCCAAGATCATTAACGCCAAGTGAATAAATCAGAAAGGGGACCGAATTTGATTGCACTTTTCATACCCAAGGCCCTTATATCAATTTCTGATTGGAAATTTCTCAGCCGATCCCCTTCCAGATGATTAAACATAGCATCAGATATTTTTAGATGTTTTCTTGGTCTGGTTGGGTCAAGAACTTTTCAACAGGCTCTCATATATAATTTTAGGGCTTGTTATAAACATGACATGCAAGATGCATCGCAGCTTTCATATGCAGACAGGAAAAGGAAGAAATGTTTTATGTAACGGCTGTAAAATAGAGAGAGAACGAAAGTTTGTAATGAGTGTGAAAGAGATAAAGAGAGAGGGGATGAGAGGGAGAGTGGAGGTGAGAGAGATAGGGGAAGAGAGGGAGAGAGAAGGTGAGAGAGAGAGGGGAAGAGAGGAGGTAAGAGAGAGGGGAAGAGAGGGAGAGAGGATGTGAGAGAGAGGGAAGAGGGAGAGAGGAGTTGAGAGAGAGGGGAAGAGAGGGAGAGAGGAGGGGATAGAGAGAGAGGGGAAGAGAGGGAGAGAGGAGGTGAGAGCGATGGCAAGAGAGGGAGAGAGGAGGTGGGAGAGAGAGGGGAAGAGGGAGAGAGGAGGTGAAAAAGAGAGGGGAAGTGGGAGAGGAGGAAAAAGAGAGGAGGAAGAGAGGGAGAGAGGAGGTAAGAGAGAGGGGAGAGGGGAGAGAGGAGGTGAAAGAGAGGGGAAGAGGAGAGGAGGAAAGAGAGGGGGAAGAGAGGGGAGAGAGGAGGGGAGAGAGAGGGGGAAGAGAGGGGAGAGGAGGTGAGAGAGAGAGAGGGAAGAGAGGGAGGTGGTGAGAGAGAGAGGGGAAGAGAGGGAGAGAGAAGGTGAGAGAGAAGCAAGCGTACAAAGTGAGAACAGAAAGGATGAAGGCGAGAGTGACCAAGGAGAAATGTTGGCTAGATTTTCCAATGACATTTTTTATGGCATCCATTCTGCAGCAAAATCAATAAATAACGGAAATATTCGCCGCCGATCAGCGACATTTCCTAGGAAAGAAGCTATCAGTTAATGCGCGCTGGTATCTGAGCGCAACCATTGTTTAGTGATTAAGGTGAAAGGTCTCTTCTTTCTACGACTACCAGCCAGATATAATTGCCATTGTCAAGAATGTTTTCTTTTTTGGTTTTTACTGTTAAAAGTTCTGCTGGTAAGGTAGTTATGGGACACTCATCTGTCCAAGTCATTACACACGTACTCTCTTCTCTGCCAAACAATATGGTGTGCTAGTAACGAGACCTTAAGTGAAACTAAAGAGTGGAGTAAATTCACACTTTATTAAAGTAAAGAAAAGCAGCCTTATTTGTAAATCGAAAATGTTTTACCAATTATGCTTTCGCACTTCTGTATATATATATAATCTATATATATATATATATTATATATATTTATATATTATATATATATATTTTATATATATATATATATATATATATTTTCTGTATATATATATTCTGTATATATATATTTTTTGTGTATGTATATATATTATATATATATTATATATATATATATTGAGAGAGAGAGAGAGAGAGAGAGAGAGAGAGAATGGGGCGGGGGAAACCAAAATTGAAGGACATTTACTGAAAGGGCCGCTGTGTAATTGAGAAAATTTGACAAATTTAATATCGACTACAGGTTACAAATCAAATATAAACATATAAAGAATAAATATAACGATTATCTAATCTAGCAAGGACCTATATTTCTATGTTCAAAAAGCACATACGAATCCACATACACAATAACATATACACGTATATACATACACATAGGCGTGTATCCACATACACACATACATATACCCATGTACACACATGCACATATATCGCATGTGTTTTTGAACATAAAAATATAGGTCCTTGCTAGATTAGATAATCGTTATATTTATTCTTTATATGTTTATATTTGATTTGTAACCTGTAGTCGATATTAATTTTGTCAAATTTTCTCAATTACAAAGCGGCCCTTTGAGTAAATGTCCTTCAATTTTGGTTTCCCTCGCCCCATCTCTCTCTCCCACCTCTTCTTTCCTTTTCTCTCCCTCCATCCTATTCTGATCTTTAACATTAAATCGTCTATGGTGCGTGTATGTCACCACGAAATATATCCCTAATGTATTAGACATCCGACAACATTCATATTTCCCCCTTCCACTCACCTCTAGTTAGAAAAAACCCTCTCTGTTAAGTTTTAGTCTCCCACCTTCTCCGTCTATTACCCCTCTCTTTAACACTAACATTCGTCCCGCACTCTCATACTTACACTCTCTCCAAATTCTATTTTTATTTCCGGAGTTGTTCTTTTCTGTTTTCTTTTTGAATTTGTAGGTCTGATGAATTGGATCGTATTTACGATTCCAATGGAATAAATTATGACCATGGAATATTAGTGTTTAAGCCTTTTTATTATATATATATATATATATATATATATATTAAGCATTCAACCCCAAGAAAAGGCAGGAGGCCACTATCACGCAAGGGGTTACAGAGAGTTGGAGCGAGAGCAAAGAGGTGTGATAGAGGAAAGGATGAAGAGAAGGATAAGGGATAGATCAGGGCATCGAGAGACGTCGATTGACATTACATTTGAATAGTTGGAGATTATAGCTATCAGGGAAACAGGAAAAAGAGAGGGAGTTCCACAGGCGAGAAGTGCGAGACATGACGCTGTTGGAGTAGAAGAGACGGCTACATTTAACAGTTTTCGACAGTGAAAGAGTGAGAGCGAGATGTCATCCTAATTGAACGCTTAAATTCATGAAGTCTGGGAAGCAGCGAAAGCAGCTCATCGGAGCAGTTAACGTGAAAGTATTTGTAAAAAAGACAGAAGGAGGCAACGGGACGTCTGTGAGAGAGCGGCCGCAGAAGAGATGCCAGATCAGGGCCAATTGCATTGCATATCCGTCTTTGGATTTTATCAAGGACCTTGAAACAAACAGAATGACGTCACACATTATGAAATGGACAAAGTCCGGAATTATTTGAAGACATTTTTTATGTTTATACGTTCTTTTTATGACGGTTCCTATGAAAATTTCTCGGACATCAAGGATGGTAAATGTCGTTAATACTGTTTATTATAAACAGAGCATTTACTTAAAACGTATGAACATAAAAAATGTTTTAAAATAATTGTCGGACCTCTGTGGCTACACACACACACACACACACACACACACACATATATATATATATAAGTACACTGAATGAAACTGTAGTTTTTTTTTACAAAGGAGAACGCAGATTCTATTCCTGGTGTCGTACATAATAAACATCAATGGGTGTCTCTTTCAAATACGAAGTGTCAATTGTAATAGCGTTTGGAGCTTTATATATCTGTCTGTTTTTCTCTCTCTCTATATATATATATATATAGAGAGAGAGAGTGCGATGTGCAAATTGTCGCCACTCTATATTTCTAATTTCGCGCATGCGCGTTGTTTGTTTTTGATTTTGACGACAGCACAGTATAGTAAGGTCAGTTGGGTATCGTCTATGAGAAAAAAGTACAATTTACTTCGTCAGAAATTTGGAAGGGGCATGCTATACTGCTTGGCATTCGCACCGGAAGCTCCAATACAAACATTTCAAAGTGTTTAGGTATGAATCTGAGGACAGTGCAGTGGATTCAAAAAGAGTTGGATGAGTCTAATGGCGATCACGAAAGTACGGCAGATCGGAAAACTCACTTCGAACGTTCTGAAAACGAAAGAACTCCCAGATTTTTTAGTAAGAGCCTCAAGTTCAACACAGAGGCCTATATGAAGTGCACGGAGGTGGTAGTGCTGTCATGGGTCAAGAGGGTGGCTGCTGGACGTCCTACACATGCAGGAGAACACAATCATGGCTGTCACACAATTGTTGCGGCCACATTACTCCTTACATCTGGTCACCTAACACCACAGACTGCATCCCACTTGATTATTATGTGCGAGGCACAGTTGAGAAAGAGATCAATAAAAACCTTCTAACACCAAACTGAAGGCAATGATTATGGCAGCATTCACCAACTTAAACAAGGAGTCTATCCAGAAGAGTTGCGGGAGATTCCAAAGTCGTCCGGAGGCCGTGGTTCAAACTAATGGCGATTTTATTGAATAAATTTACTCTTTAGTATTTCAAGATAAATTTGTATAATTTTGGTAAATATATCTGTTAAAATGAAATATCAGTATTATTTGCATTTTTGCGTAATTTAGACGACAATTTATCGATCGCACCATTTAGTAGGTATAGTGATATATTGTAAAAAAGATCGACTGATACGTTATTGCAAAACTTACAAATAATAATAAAAAATATTTGATACCTTAAAAAATCATTTTTATTTCGAAACTTGCTAAGAAAGGGCGTATAGTCGTTGATCTGTTGGCAAGACATGTTAACGTCGTTTTGTTTCCATTTAGCTCGTCTGTTAATGATGGTCAACTACTTACAGTGGCATATTGGAGTATTACCATGCCTACGTTGATAGAATTGTCCAAAGGCAGCCGAGAAACTGAATTTGTTACTTAACAATAATCGGCTAGGATACAGGAAAATCTTAAATCAAATAAATTTCCCAATTTTCATTGTCGGAGAGACAATTTGTTGATTAAAATCTCATTATCTCGACACCAGTCTGCTTCGACTTCGATGTCCACGCTAATTTTCGGATCGCAATGCTAAAAATATTGTTCAATAAGTAATGGAAAGAAGAACACACAGAGAAATTTGGAGGAAGTCGAAACAGATAAGTAATGGCTGCTGTTCTTGAACACAAAGGAAAGCTGAACTGCTGAAGCACTTGGAAAAGTGCCTGTTTTTTTTGTTTTTTTCTTGAATTCTGCGATGTGGTCCGATGAGAATAAAATAAAAGTATTTGGTCAAAATGTAATGAGGCAGGCACACACGCACACACGCACACACACACACACACACAGAGTTTTAGCCTAACTGTGAACTGTGAAATTTTATCGAGGTTGCGTGATGATATGGAGTTGTTTCCCCTTGAAGTTAGCCAGATGTTGAACCAATCAACAGGAGAGTAATCCTAAGGACGCAATTTAAGCGACAACGGAATATTTGCAATAGACAAGTCAGTTTGTAGAGTTGATTTCCAACGAGATTTGATGGCAATAACAAACAATTAGAGTCGAGAAGAGGATTGCAAGAATCCTTGTTGATCTGCAAGTGATTTGTCAAGAGAAATGGATGGAAATATGGAGAGAATTATGCAGAAGTACCATGTCCGATGTCACTGCAAGCTCTTATCGCCTGAATAAATTTGATGTTTGTTTATATTTCTTAGATGAGGTATAATACAACATATTTATTACAACATATTTATTACAACGTTTCGGCCATTCAGTATCTGTCTATATTTCTGAGACGAGGTATTATGTACACTATTTACATTATTCGGACTATTGTCCTCATCTTTGTCGCCATATTTAATACAACATTTCGGCCCTTTAGTATCTGTCTATATTTCAGAGATGAGGTATTTTGTACACTATTTACATTATTCGGACTATTGTTCTCGTCTTTGTCGCCATATTTATTACAACGTTTCCATTAAACATGGTAAGTGGAACTAGAACAGTCTACCCCAGTGAGCGAAATAAAGGGTTCAGTTCGACATTCCAACCACCTGAGGAAGGCCGGAGCGTACAATGGCCGAAACGTTGTAATAAATATGGCGACAAAGATGAGAACAATAGTTCGAATAATGTAAATAGAATAAATTTGATATTTGTTTTAATTTCTGCACAAAACCTTTCTATATTCAATTTTGTTTCAATATTTCGTTTATTTTTTCGTATTAATATTGTTTCAAATTTCAACAATTTCGAAGCTCTATAAGTTCGTTAAAATATATTGCAATGTGTCAGATACTTTTTGCAAAGATAGATAGACAGAGAAAGAGATAGA